TCGTATTTAATAATTTTATATCTTTTAATTTTTTTATCATATTTTTTAAAATAATTTTTAATTTTTAATTTAAAATGAATAAATGTTTTATAATATCTAATGATATTCTTTTTAATTCTTTCAGATGGAATGATGGTGTTCTATCAATAGGTAAAGAAGATGAACCAAGTGCATTCCTCACGTATGCCGATCCAGAACCATTCGGAATCGGTTACTTTGGAGTATGCACTGGTTGGGGTGCTTCTGGTGAATGGTTAATCGAAGGTAAAATTATTTTCTTTTCTCATCATGTACTCTATGTTTTTAAACATATTTTTTTTCATTAGTATGTTAAAAATTTATAGTAATTTACATTTAGAAATAGTTTTATAGATAATATTATTTTATAATAATATCAATAGAAGTAATTATTTTTATAAATCTTACTTAAAATAAAAATCGCATATTATAATTATTTTGCTTGGAAAAAATACTTGATAAATTAAAAATTTTTATTAAATTATATATGTGGAATATAAGTAAATTACTATTCTCAATTTATTAATATAATTTTCTTGTTGATATTTTATTGGATTTCGAGTGGATTTTAATGCATCGTCGTCCATACAGCCATATGTGTAGGTGGTCACGATCGTTGTACGTAAAATATATAGTCTGCTGAGAAACTATTTGTATTAGTTTTCTTTAATAGATTTTTAGTTATGCTCGAATGTGTTTAATCCTAGCACGTTTTTCCTTTGCCTCTTACAAATTAAATACAAACTTTTTTTTGAAAATGAATACCATTTAAAAACGGGCACATGCACGAGAACGAAATCCTAGATCACATATTTTGTCACGCTTACATCTTACTTTAATATGACCAAAACCACTTTAACTTAAATTGAACTTACAATTGAAGTAACTGATATATAATTTTATTAGGTAAAAGTTATTTTAAAAATTAATTGTCAAAAATAAAAATATTTCATAATTATAATTTTCTTTATAATTTTTATAAAAATTATTAATTATTAATTAATTCTTTCTTCACTCTATGAATAAAAAGAAATTGGAATTTTGAAAATATATAAATAAGAAGAAAAAATTAATTCTAAAATTTTAAGTAAAAATTAAATATTTTGTTTTTCATAAGGACGTGGCTCCTTGTCAACAAAGAATGAATTAGTCTACAAGTTTCATAATATAAGGAGTGGCTCGGTTCTTATTGAAGTGAGAGCTAAAAGTAACGCGCATATTGCTCTGACCAACAAAAAAGGCGACTCGAGTCCTATGTATGAAATCATCCTTGGAGGCTGGGAAAATACAGCATCCGTCATCAGATATGATTGCAAACAACCTGATAAGGTTCGAAATTGATAAAACATAAAATTATTTATATTGATAGATTATTTTTATTTTTTGTCTTATTTTACCAAAATTAAAAATATATTTATATTAAAATTAGATCATACAAAAAAATTTTTATATTATATATTTAACATATATATATTTGCCATACAAAATATTAAATATATATAAGCCATATCAGGCATTAAAATTAAGAATAAAAAGATGTTAAAAAATTAGAGTACAAATTTTGGGTTAAATCAATATCCTGTTTCCTGGGTGTAAAAACATTAACTTTTGCACCGACAGGTGCGTGTAAATACACCAAATCTTCTGAACGAGAATGAAACAAAGAAGTTCGCGATTTGTTGGCTTGACGGTCGCATCATGGTCAGAGTTGGTAGTCTTAGTGGTTCTGTGATCATGGAATGGCAGGATCCTACACCAATTGGTGTGAGCTACGTGGGTGTGCGTACCGGTTGGGGAGCAACCGGCAAATGGAAACTTCAAACTACACTGTATCCATCCCCTACGGCTCCCAATTATCAAAGTAATTTGCTTGTTAAATATTTGTTTTTTTCCTGGTTTCTTTTTTTCTGCTTCTTTTTTGCTTTTCTCCTTCACTTCAATTCTATTCTTAATGATAAAAATTATTGATTGTCAAATCACTTAGAATGTAGAATTCTGAGTAATTGAAGTCTATTCTTTATTATTTTCATATTTATTGCAAAAAATGAAATTGTCTTATAGTAAACAAATATGAATATTTAGATAAATATATATTTTATGTGATTTTTATTTTGTTTTAACTTGTATTATTATGATTTTTTTTATATTATTATGATATTCAAGCATAAATTAATTTCTTAAGTAATTCTATCTAATTATTATTGCAATTATTATTATTTTTTTACTTTATATGTATTTGCTTCTTTCTTGTTTAATAGATCTTGGGATCATTGAATGATAAAATTGTTTTTGTTTGGGATTTAACATTGTAGAAATTCGTTTAGAGAAACAATAAAATTAAGACATTTATTTTTAATAACTAAACAATTATTCTATAGATTTCACAAAACTATTGTATACTTATATTTATTATTATTTTTATGAATGATTTTTATAAATGATCTTTATGATGTAACAATACATTGAATATTAACTTCATTTTATACTTGTCTATGCATTAAAGTTTCCTACGCATTAAAAATGCTTATTTAATTCAGTTAACATGTCAATTGTCATGTCCGGTTGTTAAAGTATTAACATATTCACTGTGTCACGTGCTTGAGGCATTATTTTATAAGATGATTTATTAAATATTACATTGAATATATATGCAATATATGTTTATCAATTATTAAGTCCTATTATAGATTTCTAATATGCAATAAATATACTCTTATGGATAAAATCTGATATCATCTGATATTTAATATATTATTAAATTTTTATATTTATAATCATGTATATTATATATACATACATAATTATATATACATACAAGTTATATTATTTTACAGTTATATTATTAAATTATATATAACTATGAACAATATTATATGGAGATCATTGCATTATTATCTTTTATATTATTCTTTAAATTTTTTTTAAAATTGAATCTCACTCTATATCTCATAACATTTTTCATTCATATGAATATTTTTTTTTATTATGATTCATCTTATTAATCTATTTATAATATTCTGTATATTGAAATATTATAAATATATATTCTGAAAATTTTTACATGTATTATAATTATAAATATTAATATCATAAATATTTTTTAATAAAAAATATATGAAGCATGAAATATTGCATTTAATCAAAGATATGTGAAAAAGCATGTTTCTAAAATTTGTTTTTATAAAATTATATTTTATTTTTTGCTTATCAATAGTATTGTTCAACATAAAATGAGATAAATCTTTATTTATTTGACAAAAATAAAATGAAATAGAAAAAAATTTTAACAAAAAAAATTAACAATTAAATAGTATTATCTGATGTTTTCTATTAATCTCATAAAAAAAATAATTTCTGATCATTTATAAAATGCTAATATATTTATTTTTATTACATTTGCTTATAGACGTGAATCCAACAGCTCCACCAGTGGAAGGAGTAGTAGATATAGGAAAATTTTGTTGGTGTGAAGCATCTGGTGGAATAATTCCACCATCTGCAGTCCAAGGAGGGAAAGATATTGATGGGAATGATTTGTACGTGGGCAGAGCCTATCATGAGGGTGCTCTTCTTCCTGGCAAAGTGAAGTTAGGAGATACAATTTGTTATGTAGCTTGGGGTGGAGAGGAACATCTAAAGAATGATTATCAGGTAAAATATAACGATTAAATTCATACCAATTGATATTCTTCTTAAAAAAATTATAAAAATTATAATATAAAAACAATGATTTGATTCTAGGTTCTCTGTGATTGTAATCCTGTATGGGTACCAACAACTGGGAATAATATTCCTCACAATGCAATTCCTGGTGGCGAAACAGAAGATGGAGAGCCACTTTATGTCGGACGTGTACAACATGAAGGCTCTATAACAATTGGCAAAGTGCAACCTTCACATAGTGTGTGCTACATACCATATGGAGGTGTTGAAATTGCATATCCTGAATATGAGATCATGATACAGCGGGATTAAATTGAAATTATTGCACCAACATCGATGAATTTATTAATGAATCATAATTGCTTATAATGATATTATTTTTATATTTTAAACATGATAAAATATTAATAATAGATTCTATCATGAATTAAAGAAAAAAATGTTTTATGAGTATGAGAATAATTATCCTATTTAATATTTATAAGTTTGCATAAACAAAAACACATAAAATATTTACAGCCTAATAATAAAATTTAATTATTATCGGCATTTTAATAAAAAGAATCGAAATGGAATGTTCTATCATAAGATTAATGAGAATCTCTTATGTGTGCAAACTAGTCTAATTATAAAAGGGCTAATCTTGATTCATCGATTAATTGGTGTAAATGAGCATACATTTCTACACAGAATATAATTACACATTAATATAGAATATGCAAATAAAAAATTAATGATGTATATGTATAGCTAAGCTATATAAGCGTAATATTGATTATATACAGCATTATTAATTCTTGTTAGATGTTCATATAGTTTGAAAAACATATTGCTTGATTATAATATTTCGAATGAAAATTATAAAAAATATTTTTTTGATAATCATGCGGTGATTTGATGCACAATAATTTTCGCTTTTTTTACAATTGTTGATTTTGGAATATTGTTATGAAATAATAAATAATATTTCTAGAAAAATATAATGCATTATTTTATTTCAATGTTATTTTATTTCAATGTTTATTTTATTTCAAATTTATTTGAAATTATAACTTTACCTAACAAATATAAACGCGTTAAGAAGCATTCAGATAATTACATATAAATTATCGATATGTTGTTAATATAATATTATTGAATATTCAATATTTATTCAATATTATTCAAAAAATTATTAATATTAATTTTGAAATATTGATTGATCATCCATTAAACTATCAAAAGATAATTAATTTTTTTTCATTAATTAAAATATCGATTAACATTTGTAAACTCTAATATAGTGATTTTTTAAAAATGTATTAAAATTGGCAGTATTGCTTTCAGTTTGTGCAATTTGTTCCAAATAAGCCGGATTTAACAATGGCGGCCAATCCGTCATGGGTCGCTGTTAACTGTCAATTAAGAAAGGAAATTTTAAAATAGTAGCAGATCAGAAGTGTTTTCATTATAAAAATGGCTGCAAAAGAGCCTAATAACATCGATGATGGTATTGCCGAACCAGGTATCGAACCTGGTGCTTCTGCGGAAACAATGCTTGTTACTACCGATAGTTTTGAAGAATATGAGCAAGAGATGAGCAATAGCATTGATGATAGACAAATGAAAGAAAGCACAACGAGTACTATTTCAGAGATACAAGAAGATGTTCAAGACATTCCAATTACACCTACTGCATCTAATTCACAAGAACTTCAAAAAACAACTTCATTCGATGATTCCGAATTAGTATGTTTCATAACCTTTTTTTTTTTAAACATTTTGAAAAAATATATTTCAATTTAAAAAAAAGTTTAATGAATCAATTCAAATATTGAATAAAAATAATAAGAATTGTTTTTAATAATTAAGAATCACTCAAAAAGTTGTTTCTTTTTAAAAATTATTATTATATATTGAAAATCTTAATCAAATTTGTTTAATTTAATTAAAATTCTCTTTTAGGAGGATGTTACACATCGATTAGGTCAAAGTAATATTGATTCAGATCCTTTACGTTGTAGAACATGGTTAGCACAAAAAAAACATGTATTTATTTTAAGCCAAGCAGGAAAACCCATATATTCTAGATATAGTTCAGAAGATAAACTAGTCACAGTTATGGGTGTTATGCAAGCTCTGGTTTCATTTGTTCAAGCAGGCAGTGATATGATTAGATCTGTTCATGCAGGAGATACTAATTTTGTATTTGTTGTAAAAGGTCCATTAATTCTAGTTGCAGTGTCAAAAACACTTGAAACTGTACCTCAACTTACATTACAATTAACGTTTGTATATTATAATAGAATATATATTACTTTATTTAATTCTCTTAAAATATTTATATAAATTTTTTTATTGCAGATATGTATATAACCAAATAATTTCTGTGTTAACCCAGTCACAATTAACTAGAGTATATGAACAACGTAGAAATTTTGATTTAAGAAGATTATTAACTGGTAGTGAAAGACTGATAGATCATTTATTAAATTTTATGGACAGAGAACCTGCATTCTTTTTAGGAGCTATTAAATGTTTGCCTTTATTACCATCCATGAGAAGTTCTATTACACAAACTATTATTCAAACATGTGGTAAAATCAAGGTAATATAACTTACAGATTATTTAAATTAACATTATATTACAATTTTTGTAAACAATATTAATCAGAATTAACATTTTTCAGAATTTAGTATTTGCAATACTTCTAGCTAATAATCAATTAGTAACATTAGTTAGAATGAACAAATTTTTTTTACATCCTGTGGATTTACATATAATACAAAACTTAGTTGATAGTTCAGAGTCACTTAAGACTGCTGAAAGTTGGACACCAATATGTCTACCAAAGTTTGATGCCAATGGTTATATGCATGGACATGTATCATATTTGGCTGAGGACTGTCAGGCATGCTTATTGTTACTTACAGTTGATAGAGATGTCTTTTTTATTCTTTCTGAAGCAAAACAAGTAGGTGATATAATGAATGTTTATAAAACATTTAAAAAATAATATTAAAAATAATAAATTTTATAGAAAATTGTAGAAAAATTAAGGAGAACAAATTGCTTAGAAGCAATTAACGAATCTATGAATAAACCATCAATTAAAACTGCTGATATTGGATTGCCAGAAATGCGACATGTTTTATATAAATGTAGAAGCACAGCACAGTTTTGGAGTCCTGGATTTCAACCTCCATATACAACAGATGAAGAAATAGAACGGTAATGTTAAAAAATATAAAATAATCAGATAAAAACGTAATAATGAAAAACTTTAATTTTTTTATAGTTTGTTAGGGCTTTATCAATGTTTACATCACAGATTACACAGCCCAAATCGACCATTAAAACTTATATTCCAACAATTAGATAAAGAGACTATGTTAGCATGGGTAAGCTCAAATAAATGATGTAAATATAATAAAAATTATCATTATGTTGCAATTAACATGTATATATTTTGTAGGTAACATTAGGTTTTGAATTATATGTTACATTTGAACCACTTGTAACAAAACCTGATGCAATTGAGGCAGTGAGTAAATTGTTAAAATGGATAAAAAAAGAAGAAGAAAGATTATTTATTTTAAATTCACCCACATTTTAAATACTGATGTAATAAATTTTAAAAAATTATAAAAATGTATATTTGGGGGGACATAATTTAATTTAAAATGACGTGAAATGCATTAATTATTTATATTAATCTAATTATAAATTGCTAAAAAAAATTATTATTCACGATAAATGCATTCACGTTTCTCTTACATAATACTTGATACTATACTTTGCTCACCATTTTTTATTATAAAAAGTACTATTATAAGTACACATGTGAAAATGTATATATTTAAAAGCATTACGCATGTAATGTTGATTACATTTATAGACAGGCTATGACATTTTCAATTTATTTTATTACATGGTGCTTGAGAAAACTTATCATTGCATTGTTAAAAAAAGATTATTTAAAATACAATATCTTTTTATATCATTTAAAATAATATAAATTTTACAAATTATAAAATAATTTGTTTTTAACAATGAAAGTGATAAATTTCCTCTAAAGTTTTGTAAATAAACGTAAAAATAGCCATTATTTCATGATATTAAATCGAAAGTAATGATTCCAAATAGAATAAATAGAATGACATTAAAAAAAAAAAAAAAAAATATATTGTCACAACATATAATGTACGGGTATTATAAGCTACTATGTAGCGTTTCTATAGATATAAAATCCTATAATTTTAATACGAAACTATTCCTTGTATATGTTACACATTATTGTTAATCGCAATCGAAATGCAATATATATGATATAAAAATTCAAGATATATATCATTTTACGTTTTTTATTTACCTGGTAGTTATAAAAATTAATTTTCATATTCTGTACAATATTTTTTATATTTTGATATTTCAATTCAATGCCTAGCTCTATCACGTTCTCGTCTTCGTTCTCGATCTCGATCTCTTTCTCTATCTCTATCATCTCGTCTATGTCGATCCTTGTCTCTATCTTTATCTTTATGCGAAGAATGACTTTTAGGAGATTTACTTCGTTTACGTTCTCGTCTATCTCTATCTCTGTCTCTACTTCTCGATCTCTGTTTTTCTCTATCAGATTTTTTATCAGAACGTGAATGTCTTTTATCCCTATCTCTATGACGATCTCTATCCCTTTCATGATCATCTGTTCTTTTGCGAGTTTCTTCTTTAACTGGAGGTATATCTTCATCTTCTGAAGACTCTATTCCTTCATCCATATCATCTTCTAATGCAGATATTTTTGCTTCTATAACATAGAAATGATTATTTGAATTATTCTTATTTTTTATTCATATATTTATAAATTTAAAAAGTTTACCTAATTCATTATTTTCTTCAAGAACATGTCTTTTTTGTATTCTTGGTAGAATTACATCACAACATCTTTCTTCTCTAAGAAGATCATCTATAAATTCATCCATATGGATCAATTCAAATTTACCTTGTTTATTTTGTCTTCTTAACTTTCTATTGTCATTAAATAATGGTTCCAAATATTTATAACAATCTAAAGAAGATCCTGTCAATCTCATATACAAAGCTCCCAGAGCACGAACATATTTAAATTCTTCATTTTTTATAAATTCTACTATAATATCTTTTTCAGGTTGTATTTGCAACATTTTTAATATTAAACAAAGAAACGGTGTTGGTTTTACATTTCCACCATATACACCACCTATGTACCTATATAAAATATATTTGTTTTCGTTAATAGATTATATTCTAACAAAATTTTAAAAAATCTCCAAAATATAATAAAAACAATTAAATAGTATATTACATAAATAAAATCACAAATAATTTATTTAAATTATATTTAACAATATTTACTAACCTCAATTCCATAGCTTTATCAACCAAAAGTTCTGCAGTTAAAGCAAAGCATTCTTCTTTCCAATATTTTGAATCATATACTCGAGATCTAATTATTTTTTCTACTAAATATTGTGGATTTGTACCTCTAATAGATTTCGCATCCTTTACCGTTCTATTAGCCATTTTTAGATTGTATATAGGTTAGAAATATATTTTCAAAACAAAACGTACATTTTAAATAATGTAGATAGATGGCAATAGAACACATTTAATAGGGAATTTTTTAAATAACTGTATTTATTCAAAATATACTTCAAATATGAATAAATTAATTTTTATTTAAACTATTTATTTATAACTTATTTAAACTTGATGATTAAAGTGAAAAAAATATATGATAAAATGACAATGATAATTTAAAATTTGAGAAATGAAATAAAAATAATGTAAAGATAAATAAATTAAAATTGCAAATAATTTTAATTTTTCTTAATCATTTAACTTTAAAAAATATAGAAATTAATATTAAATACTATACTTTTTTTCAAAAGTAAAGTTAATCAATTTTTAAATCATGTATCTGTAAATTAATGTTTGTATTATTTATATAATAATACATCTTAACAAAAAAATTAATTCTATCTTAGAATTCTTTCCATAGAATTTCAATTTAATATAATAGAAACTAAATATGTTTTATAGAGATACAATAAATTCGAGAGATACAGTTAGTAATCATGTTATCACGTCACTACAAAAATATGTAGAATCCGGGACCCAGTGAAAAAATATATAACTTTTCATTTTGTATTCGATTTATATCTATTTTCAACAATTCTAAAATTATTTAATTTATATTTAAAATATTTTTTTTTATTATAATATTTGTTTCTATTTGAAAGTTTCAAATAATAACTGTATAAATAATATTACATATGTTTTTCAATATCTATCAATATTATATGTAAAAAAAGTTAGAAAATGTTCTTCGTTTATTCATTTAATATATATATAATTTACATAATATTTTTACATTAATATTTTTAAAAATATTTTATATTTTCTAACATAAAGAACAATATTCATTTTTATTTTTTCAATACAACAAAGAATAGTCTCTGAAGAAAAGCCTACATACAAATCGACATCCCTACTCCTCGCATTGATTCTGTAAACGACATCACCTTTCTCTTGAGCTCAGGGCCCGTAAAAAGGCCCCATTCACAGTTCTCATCTCATTCTCTCACATTAGTCTCCCTCTTTTTTACTTACTTGGCAACCTTAGTTCACCTGGACAGCCATCTTGAGCTACACAACGCGCTATCATAGCTTGTCCTCTTTAAGACGTATTTTCCATTCGACGAGGTGATCAGCTGCATCGACTCGTAACTAGCAGTGGCTATGTGAGTCGATTCAACAGACTTACCATCCTTTATCTTAATTCTTCTTTTGCAATCTCATTTATATTTAAATCGAAATTCTTTCTTTCAAATAAATATTTTAATTAATTTCTTCTATGTGAAATATTCGTTTCTTTTTTCCATATAGTGTCTTTAAAAGAAGTGAAGATTTCTAAAAAATAAAAAAAAAATACAGTGAGTCAGTGAAATTTAGTGATTGTTAATTTTAAACATGTCTTCCAAAATACCTTGAGTTTAACGGAGAAAGGAAGAGAAAAAGGTATGTCAAAGATTGAATTGAGTTTGGAAGAAGCTTTAATATATGAAAGTTCTTAATGATTTAATCGAATATTAATATTTTTTTAATTTCAAAATTTAAGTCTATATTTTTTTAATATATAATGTAGTATATTGTATTATTATTTTTATATATTGACATAATATATATTATGTTCTAAATAAAAATTTTGTTTAAAATTTTTAATTTTGTAATTCTCGATTGAAGCCAATAAGATGGTTTCAATTTTAAACTCGTATCAAAACGCGCGCCTTGTTTTGTGCGCTGTTTACAAACTGATGCATCAATCAGCAAATTTTATAAATACTTTTACAACATAAATCTTTATCTTTGATCTGTAACTCGAGAATGAAACGTTATATCTTGATCGAACCAATAAAAAGGTAATATGATTAATGAATCGCGTTTTATTACATTCTGATCAATAGGTCGTTACAAAGAAAAACGTGCTGTATTTTTTTAATCCTATCAGTGAATATTCTGATGCAAATGTCACGAGCGACACTAGTACCGATTTAATGTGAGAACGAACACTTGAAACTCAACAAGAAATCGCAGAATCGGTGATGAAGAAACATTGAAGACGATCGATTTGCGAAGAAAGTATGTATTTGCATCTTTGATAATATTAATAAACTAATCTTTGTAATGATTATAGCAATATTTAAAAAAAGAATTAATAAAAAAAAACTCGATTAATATCAAATAACATATTACTCGAAAATATTGAAAAATTAATATTTATGATATATTTTTGTTATATATATATTTCTTGAAATGAGGAAAATCTTAGAACGATTTTTTTTATTCCAATATCTATATTTTAATAATTAAAAAATCACCGTATCTTTTAATAAGAAATAATCACTAAATATGTTTAATTAGAATAAAATGGGCTCGAAGATAGAATATGTAGAATCGTCACATATGTATGCAACGAATTACATTCGTAATTCGAAGGCAATTGGTGTTCTCTGGGGTATTTTCACCATATGCTACGCCATAATCGGAGTCGTAGCTTTTATCACTCCAGAATGGCTGGGTGACTTAGAACACGAGAATCCAGGAAGATTCGGTCTTTGGACTAGATGCAACTATGGTGGTAATGGTAAATTCATTTTTTTACTTTTTTTTAATTTCAAGAACCAATATCGTAATATCATAATTTTCGTTGAATTTGTTTGTAACTGGCATCGTTTTTTCATTTCATTTCTCTCAGGTGAATTAGGTGAGGAATGTATAGGCAGATTGGATGATTTATCGACAATCGCGAATGTTCCTTTCAGAATAAGTACTATTCTAGTCGGCATCGCGGTCATAATCGCTTTATTGACTATTTGTGCGATGCTCCTGTTTTTTTTTTGTCAGAGTACAACAGTTTTCTATATTTGCGCCTGGATGCAAGTAGTTTCAGGTAATTATTGCTCCTCCTATTATTATTATTAATCGTGCGTGATAATTATAATCAGATCTATTTATTTCTATAATACACGAATATTTCATTCTATGATTTTTTTCTTTATAAATACTTTTTAAAATTTTTATCGAAACAAAATAACATACAAAATAATACATCGTTTTTAGAAAATGTAACACGATTAGGTATTCTCGCGAGCTATAATCGTCTGCATAATACCTTATCATCGCAATGCAATTGAAAATTACGTATACCAAAGCTATTGGATCAGATAGTGATGCAATTAAAATTTCAATGCATTTTTGTACTTTTTTATAATAAATTATTTTTCTATATAAATTTTATTTGTCATTTATATATATCTTATGCCGCATTCAAATGTTTTTAAATCTTTATTTAATTTAATAGAGTTGAAATAATCTATTAATATTATTCAATATTTTTTTTTTCTTTAATTCATTTTTTCCAGATTTTTCAAATTGATCTTTAAAAATTTTTTAGAATCATTTATATAAAATCTATTTATTTATCATATCTATTTATATAAATTTCAATGATTGATATAGCATAAATTATTATTTATTTATTGTTGATTTAAAGTTAGTTAAGTTTTTTTATTATCAATTTTCTTTTAGAATAGAAAAAATCTCGGAATTGTACTTATGAAATGCAATACAATAATGTTTAAAGTGAAGATGTTTTAAAAGAGAAATATAAAATAAATCATTATAATACACAATAGCTAGTTTACCTATTGAATAACCTCCCTATAATTAACATATTCAATTATTTCAGAATTGTATTTTTGTTTAATATTATTTTAGAATGAAATAATATTCTATTTAATTATTCACATATTATAATTATTGATAATTTTTCCTATTATTATATTATTTCATTGTATTAATATTTAATATTTTAATTCTATTTATAATATGAAAGAAATGAATTTTTAAATAAATGAAATAAAATTTTTTCATAGTAAAATAGAAATAATAATAGTTATTAAATTAATCAAATACGGATATGCTTCTAAAATGCTTGTCTGCACGATGCTGACCTAATTCAAGAACATTGACATGCTTGATTTATCTTACAAGTTACGCGATGTAGTAATAATATTCATGATTGCTTATTCAAAAATTTGATAATTTTATACTTTTTTTTTTTATTTCATTAATTAATATAAATAAGATTATCATTCACAACAAAATAAAATACTAGACTTTATCATAAAATATAAGCTAGATCTTGAATAAGAAAGTTTTTCATCCAAGATTTATTTAATTTAT